AAAAGTAACTTGAAATGAAGTACAGTGACAATGTTTCTGTTTTATGAGATGTTTCTGGAGAAGAGAAATGTGGCAAAATTTCCATCTCCGAACAACAGTAGTACAAATCTGAAATTCAAACACCACAACAGATGAAGACGGGAAACCAACATCGTGGACCTGTTAGCGTGCAGGAACACGTCTATAAGTTCTTAAAGATGTACCCATAAGGGATACAATCCAGGACTGCTTTGCACAGATGAATAGTTTGTTGAAGGTTTTTGTATCAGTTTCGGTTTTCAGTTTTTGGTTTCCGTTTCAATCCATGCAAGAGTAAACAAATTTTTGTACTAAGTGCTGGCGTAAAAAAAAAACAGTACGTGATTGGGAGTTGTTACTACTGACAAATGGTTGAACAACGGAAAATCTGGTTGTTTGTCAAACAGACATGGGTGCCTGTCACAGGGTAACAACCCCTCGCGACCTTTCTTGAACGACAACATCATGCTCCCAACCTCGCAGAATAACTGTGGAACAAAAACGCAACCATAAACACGTGAATCGGAGGGGGATGGGGTGGAAAAAAAAGGGGGGGGTTCGGAATAGAAAATAAAGGGACGCTAGGGCACGTGATAGGTTGCGATCACTTTTTGTGACGTGAGACTGCTGTCAACAATAATTCCATTCTTCCAATAAAAGAACTCAGTATCATGAGGCTTGACTGCATTGTCCCAATTCCAAGCTGTCTGGCTCTGTGTAATTACATTGAAAGTCTCAGCTTGTTCAGCCTCCTTGAAACTCATTCCAGATACATCTTAATCATAATTAGGTTCAGCAGTGTCATCAACAACCTCTTGTTTTGACATCTGATTCTAACTCAAAGGCTGCTTCAAAGGCTACAGACTGGGACTCCACAAAGGCTGCTTGTTGTGTTGTCCTTGGTATGCTCCTTGCTGCTTGTCATGTTATCCTTCAGGAATGCTGGTTGGTTATGTTGGTGAGCGGCACCATTGGTAGTGTTGCTGCTGATAGTGTTGCTGATAGTGTTGCTGATACTAGTAGTGTTGCTGACACCAGTGCTGCTGATAGTGTTCCTGATAGTGTTACTTAGTATTGCTGATAGTGTTGCTTGTTACTAGTAGCATCTTGGGTGATAAAGTAGTCAATTTGTTGTCTGTTGTTGATTCATTGTTCTTGGTAGCTGGCATTGATAGCTGCTTAGTGTTGCTGATGATACTGTTGCTGATGATACTACTACTGTTGTGGACATGAGGGTTGCTGGGGAAAATTGTTGCTGTTCTGGAGAAAAACTGTTTCTGATTAGTGGTGCTGATGAGTGTTGTTGATTTGTTGTTGTCAATTGTTTTTCTTATCTGATGTTGATAACTGGTTAGTGTTGGGGGTGTCGATAGCTGGTTAGTGTTGCTGATACTGTTGCTGAATAGTGTTGCTGATGAGTGTTTTGAGTGTTGCTGATCAGTGTCAATAGGAGTGGCAAGTAGATGTTGGAACAAGAAAGACATCCACAAGGATATTGGTAGGTTCAGCACATGGTTGTGAGGACTCCTCTGTGTCTGACAATCAACAATGAGTTGCCTTGTTGCTACCATCATCATGAAGGAGCAGTATTGGTGCAACATTGGATGGTCTTTTTAGGTAAATATATTAATCAAGAATGTACTTCTGACACATTGATTGACATCAAGACAAAAATTCCATAGAAAAATGGTGTAGTTGCTGGACAAGATTTCATGATTTCAGTAGTGTGCTTGACATATTTTACTCAGGAAAAAGATAGCCCAAAATGTACAACTGGATCATAGATCTGCTGGCTGAGCCAACGATATCAGGACCCAGACATTTCTGTTTTTTCTCTCTGCCCAACCTTGTTTTTTTCTTGCAGAGTCTGTAGCTACTAGTACTACTGCAAGCCATTTCAAGAACCATGCATTCTGATTGTTGCCTTGTTGTCTGGTCTAGCAGTAGTATTACTACTAGTACTATGAGGGTTGATGCATTCTTGCGCTGGGTATTTTTTGATGGTGCTTTGATCTTTGTCTTGTTATGGTGTGCCTCACTTGGAGTAGAATCCCATCCATTTCATACCAGATCTTGAGCAGGTTTCATTTATTCTTGTCTAGGAATCCACATGATGTATGTACTAGAATGGTACACACTTTTCTACTGTTGCAGTTTTTGCATTACGTCCAAATACCCCCACCGTATTACTACCTCCGCCCAGATATAATAGTACACTATGCACTACTCTATTTTTCCAGAAATAATTGTCCAGTATTTACTTAACAGTTTTTGGAGTTTCTGGCCATTGGATTCTACAAATGACTGTGTATGACTGTGTAGAATGTGTAGAGTCAGTAGTGTAGTAGATAAAAATGAGCATGCGCATGAATAAAAATTATTTTTTTCTTACACATGAAAATACACTCTATTAACACCACGACAAACTAAAGTTTGCATTGACAATGGTACCATGCACCTCTTTTGAACAAGAATGACTGATCCAAGAAAGTTCTTCATAATGAAGAAAATTACAGCCTCAAAAATGTGTCACTCTTGTTAGCTATCATGTGCAAGTAACGGCCTATCAAAATGACCAGTAAAACCCAACTGACAGTATTTTCAAATTGATAAGAAAAAATAAGCCTACTTGAAGGCTTATTCCTTCATTGCTACCAGTACAACATTACAAGGCATAACACATCTTAAAAGTATTAAATATGATCAACATAAAAAAGAAGCAGTCAAATCGGCCATATATTGAGCTTAATCCAACGAAAGAGGTGCAAAGTGTACTATTAAATCTGGACGGAGGTAGTATTTTTTTTGCGTACAAGTAGCACCATCGGTACATAGTACCTTCACTGTTGGCTATGGTGCACTACACTGCACTTCACTAACTTTAGTGCACGGTAGCCAGTGACTTTGAAGAATTCTTACAGCCCTGGACTTGCGACCGAGGAAACAAAAAGAAACTTGTTTTTAGTGCGGATTTGTACAAACCCTGGTATACCATTTTTTGCAAATAAATTAGTACCTTGACCAAAAACAGATTATTCATTTTTAACTTAACTTTTCCCCGTCTCCGCCCAAATCATGCATTTTTTGGATTTTTTTTT